TGTCCTCAATGCCACTCGATTTAGTGTCCTCTGAAACTTCACAAAGTGTGCACTCAATCTCATCATTCAAATTATGGGGAACCTCACTTGATACTTCCTCCCACTAGACACGGAGCCATTGATGACCATGCGTTGAGCAGTTGATGGCTATGTTTTGATCCCACCAGTTGTGTATTCACCTTCCAGTACTTTATCTAATCTGTATTTCCTTCCTTTTCCTGTATTTAGATTCCATAGATGAAATATAAAATTGCTCGGCAAGACTAAGATCACGTGCTTGAATGTATGATAAAAAAGACATACGGGGACAACAGGCTATAAATAGGTTTAGAATAAATCTAAAGAATTGGTATATTTCTAATGAATTTTAGTATAATGATAATATTGGTATAATTATGTGAAGACATCTATATTTTAAAGGATTGCAATATTTAGACCAGTATATACTCTATATTAGGCATACCCAACTCAAACTTTACTGAGGGCCACTTTCAAGGCTTACTTTCCAATGGAGGTCTCTACTAGGGGAATCTGTTTTGGTTGGATGTAGGCCTCAGTATGCACTTTGTGAGCGAGTGCCCGTCCTGGGTATCCAGTAGTCAGATAACTTCCCCCCAATTCCCGCCTGCCTGCCACGACTTGATCTAAATGAGATTTGTGAAGGGGGAAGTAGTAGTTGTTAGATCCCGGTACCCTGATAATAACCACACGGGTCAGATCTTCAATGTAGGTGCTTTATTAAAGTAAATCAGGCTTTCTTTTCCCTCCCTTGTACTGGGATTGCTCTGTCTTGCCGCAATTCACACAGTCTGCCTTCTTGGGGTGACATAGGGTTACTGGTTAGCTTGATACATAATAACCCGTCCTCAACAAGGCTAATTAACGCCCGTTGGCGGCGGGCACCGGGGTTTCCCCTCTGAGCTGCAGTTTGTGCCGGCTTCTAAGCTCGGCTTCGTCAATTTCCTCTCATGCACTGATCAGCAGTTAACAAGTCAATTAACAGCTGCTTGATGCTGATACCGGGATTCCCCCTCCGACCGCGGCTTGTGCCGGCTTCTAAAGCCCAGCTTCGTCAATTTCGCTTTTTTTCCTTTCTTTCACTTTCCGCAGACTCTGTTTCCCGTTTTTCCTCCAAGGGGAGCCTGGAGTTACTGGGGCTACAGGACCCTGTCAGGGCTTCTCCGCCCTTTTCTCTCTGTCTCCTCTTTTCTCTTTTCCCCCCCCTCGCTTGGGGAATTCCCGTGCTAAGCCCCCTTGGAGCCATGGTTTATCCACGGAGCAGCAGCGCGGGAACCACTCACCGTCGAGGCTGTCTTCTATCGCCGCAGGACGCGAGCAGGGGAAAGACGTCTCAATTTCTCTCAAAATCTCTTATTTCCGTCCTGGAGTATTTCTCCTGATCCCTCTCCGTGAATGCATGCCCGAAGGCGTCTTCGGTAAGTCTCCTCCTCTCTTTTATTATCCCCTTCTGTCTTCGTATTGGCTGCCCGGGTTATTCATCTATTTCCTCATTGTCTTCCTCCCCGGCAGCTGTTCCCCCTCTTTTAGTAACCGCGTCGCAGCTGCGGCGCTGTTACACACTTAATATGCAGTTATACATATTAATTATACATAATATACATTATTTGATCAACATACAGGGAGGACAGAGCATTCACTATTTTCCTTTTCAAAGTGATTTTGTAAACGATGATGGGCCACTAGGATTGCCTTGACAAACCACATATAATCTGAAAGCTGTATGTTGGGTACCTCCTCTCTATATTTTGTGGTGTATACAAAGATAGAGCAATCAAGGTAAATATAACTATCAAGAAAGTGATAAAGAAGTAATGTAAACATTATGCTTAATATATTACTTAAACAAAAATATTCTTGGTAAAATATGTAGGCCTTTGAAAATATGTTAAAGCATATTGAGAATCACATCATTCCTTGAAAGAAATTGCATTCTTGAGTGGATTGCTGTAGAACATTAATGAAGAGATGTGTAGCTATCTGGAAAGGATTGTGATCATCTTAAGACAGTACTTTCTAGCAAGATTATATATTGCCTTGAACTTCATATCAACAAATATTCTAAACTTCATTTGACTTGAACAAATTATGGTAATGAATCATTCATTCTAAATAATGTAGTAAATCCTAATTGATGGCATGGGGCAAACATTTTACATTCCATTATCATTAAATCTGTAATAAAAATGCAAATATATATTTTTATCGATATTTTTCTTTGGGGATTTTCATCACCAGTGGTCTATTGAATAATATAACTTATTATTCACTGTTGGGAAGAAGTAGATAAGACATGAAAAAGTTGTAATCGTATATTTAAAGCTAGTTTATCAGCTATTTATAGTGGTACTAAGGGTGGAATAGAAGGATCTGTGATGAAAAAGAATGAGAAGTATTATATATGTAAAATATAGAACATCTGTACAGATATGAAAAGATAAAGTTGCCTAAAATGAAAGGGTAAAGTTGATAATCTATGTACTTTTTAAATTTATTTATGCTTATATAGAACAAAGAGTTTTCTTATAAAAATGCTTATTTACTCTCATGTAACTGTTCTGAAATCTGTACCTTAAGGACAAAGAAGGTCGCCAATCTCTTCAACTCCTAGTTCTTTGTCAAAAATGGACACAGTTAATGAGGTTTGTTTGGTACAGCACAAATTCTGAGACACAGATAGAGATCCTTTCAATGGAAACAAATTTGTTTGGCTTTACCAGGTTACTTAGCGATTAATAATAGCCTTGAGATGCAGGTCAGAAAGGTCATTGTACCCGCTTGCCAACACAATCTAAAATGTGCAGCTAGCCAGCTCTGCAGGCTCTGAGGCCCCAAAATACTATGCATAAAGTAAAACAGGCTATTTTCCAACTTCTTTTTTCATATTAATAAGCAATTTTCAAGAGAAGGGTGGCAAAATGGGGGCCATGCCACTCTAAGTAATTCATTTATTTTGCAATTTAATCTTATGTTGGAAAAAAATTACACTGCTGCAAAAGCATAGCATGGTGATTTTTAAACGTCAGTATGTTTCATAAGTAACCTTGTATGAAATATTGCATTAGCAGCCTTTAACAGTAAACTGCAAAAAAAATAATATTTCCAGAGATCGAAACAGACCTATACATCTTTCCCTACCTTTAATTTATTTCCTTTTCATTTTGTTTTTGTCTTGTACATTTGGAGGAAAAACATGTATGATTTACTTAACATTTATTCATTTTTTCCAGGTGGTGTGGATTAATATTTTGGTAAAGAAAGCTTGAAAGACTGTAGCATTAAACAAATGTAAAACTGATACATTTTAAATATCTATTTAAGAATGTCTTTTACCTGAGTTTGTAGATTTCAGACATATATTACTATTTCACATTTTTTCACAGATTAATTTTACATTATGGTAATTAAAACATTTAGCATTACAAGGCTGAGGCAAATCCTACAGGCATTTACAAAAGTAACTTGTTTTTCACTTGTAGCCATAAATGCTTAAATACTGGTTTGTTCTGCAAACCAGGCACCAACTGAAATCAGTTGGAGTGTTAACTATAGACTTCACTGGATCTGACCCCAATTTTCATTTTGCTGTTTTATTTCTGGTTTTTGTAACTTTTAAAACAAACTGTACAATTTTCTTCGTTCTTTATTTCATGTAACATACTCAGAAAAAGACTGGAACTTACCCAATTAACCTTTATACAAATCTACATGCATCACTGAGCAAAATTGGTATAATTTATACACAGGTTAATTTGAGCTAGCTGTTTATTAATAACAATAATAACAATTGTTAATCAAGCCAACTTCTTTTACAGGTTCAAAAAATTCCATATACATGCCCTGTGAACAATATAATTGAATAATTCCATATAGGGCATTCATTTACTTCATATTTGTGTGCAGTTTAGGCCCAGGCTTGCCCTATTTTCAAAAATCAGTGGGAAAAGACTACTAAAAAGAAAATCTCTTTCTGTTTTTCCTAACATAGTTTCTCTCAGACTTGTTATTTTGGGAACATGGTTTGACCTTCCCCAGTATTGACTCTTTGGAACCTGTGGATCTTTCAAGAACTATTGGAGCCCCCGAGTCATATGTGTAGAAGGTCCTGCACTTTGACTTTGGTTGAAGGAGCCCTGTGCTATATATTCTTCATTAAACTGCCAGTAATATTCTAGGAGACTCCTCAAGACTGGGGCAGTCTATACTGCCACTAGTGGGAGAAGTGTGGAAAGTTGAGCTATGCGGTTTAATACTGCATGAAGGGATTTCACAAAGTCTTTACCTGTGATTGGTAAAGAAATAGTAAATACCTCTGGATGGAGCTCACCTGTCTCTAGTTCATGACCCAGCTCCTTCCAACCCTAGATTCTCCACCTTGCAGAAGACACAAGGGTCCAGCAATGATGGAAGTGTTAAGTGGACATCATACTTTGATACTTTGATGCTTTGTCAGAGTGTCTGTTCTGATTGCAAATCAGCAATGCATGATTTACTCTTGGGTTACAAACTACAAGTTTAAATGTAAAATATCAGTTTATAATTCTGATGCCCATTTGAAAGGAAGTACCAAGTAAATATACAATCTCTTTACAGAAAGTCAAGGTAAAATGGTTTTGGGAAAAAAGATCATGAATCCCTTCTTATCACTGTATTTAAGTAATGCCATTGAAATCATTCTTAGCGGCTAAACAGACTAGACCGATGGATTACAGCATACATGTTAAACTGCACAACACATAGAGAATAAATCTTTGAATACTTTAATAGTGTCAAATATTACAGTTGCATCTGTATATAATTCAACTATTGTAGTGCTGAATGTAACCAACTCTAACATGCCACTGGTTTCAGCAGACTCCTTAGTGGCTGTTAACAGTACACTGAATGCCTTGAAGAACCAGCTGTCAAAGAGTTAAAAAAAGGTCTTGGTTAGCCTCTTATTGAGCTTTGTACATAAATAACAAAGAATTGTTTTATTGCAGAAAAGAACTTGAGGAGTTTGCAGAGATGAAAGAGAAAGAAAAAGAGAAGAAAGACTTAGAAAGAAAAGAAAAGAAAAAGGATCACCAAGCCCGAAAGATGCATTACCTCCTCAGCACTGAGCAGGTTGGTATACCTGTCCCTGACAGCTCATGCAAACCACTTGGGCCCCCAGCCTGACAGAGATAAACTAGCAGGCTGAATGGGACATGACTTGTTGAAAAGATATCACAAAGACACTACTTCGAGTTCAATTTAGTGCTTTTCTATAGGCGAGGGCAGGTACCATGACTACTCTGTGACAGCGGCTTCATAGAGGCAGAATCAGCGCAGCTGGCAGAAAGAGTCCAAGTCAGCAGTTTGATCTGCCGCTGTGATAACACAACACGAAGGGCATAACCTCGCTTTAAAAACTCATTTTGACTGGCTTATTGTTGTGTTGTTGCACTTGTCAAGAACTAACAAGTTATTAAGCTGAGGAGGGGTTCCATTTTTTCTTTTTTAATTGAGTTAATGCTTGGATTGATACTGTGTTCTTCTGCTGTATTTTAGAATAGATTGTAAATATAGGGTTTCAACTAAAGTTATTCACAGAACTGCTGGAATCAGCACATTTAATGTGATTATTTTCACATGGACATGCCTCTTAAATTTTGAATATTTACTGATTAGTTCGTTTGCATCGAGAAAGGTTCTAGACATTTTTTCTAACCTTCCTATAGAATTTCCCTGGCACAAAGCTGAATTGGTACTAATCAGTTGAGATCTTTCACAGCAAAACAGAGCTGGTTGCCCTTTGTTATTTCCTATCTGTGTACTTAAGTACAAAAGTACTTCCGTTTCTGTGAACTTTTGGTGCATGGTTATTCTTCATATTAATATTGTCTTGACATGAAAACCAGGGTTTTCAGGCATAAACAAATATTTGTTACATATTAGTTCATATTGTTCACAACTCATTGTTATTTTTTGTTCTGTTTAGAAAGTATGAGTCATCTAATCAGGGAGCAACACTAATACCATGTGACTTAACAGATGCAAATTCAATCCTATTCTCTGTTTACAAATCATTGGGTATTCCTACAGGAGATGCTTTACAGTGCAGTAGCACTGTTTACTGCACAGTAAGCATGCATCTGTCTACATGCACACATGCTTACTGCCCAGTAAACTTCATTACTTGTGTGTAAATATGCTACCTGCAAATGCAAGTATCAAATTTATTTGCAAGAAGTTACTGCACAGTAACGTATGTGTAGATGCCAACCAAGAGCAAATTTGTTCCCAGTCAGTCCTGCCACTAGGGGGCCAGCCTCACTACAGTCTCAGGGCCCTGGTACTGGGAGCCTCTCCTGTCCCAGGGCTGGCTGCCTCTATGGCAGCCCCAGTCACAAGCCCTTAAAAGCCTGCAGGCATTTTGAGCCCTGGGGCACACGTGCAAGGAGCCTGGGGTGACTGCTGGCCTCTGCCCCCGCTGCACAGGCCACAGGCTACCTGTAGCAGCCTGTCATCACCACCAGGCCACTGCAAGGCCTCACTATCCAGGCCTGCAGGGTGCTTCAGGTTCCTGCCAGGCCTGCCAGCCTCCCAGGCCCAGTTGCAGCTCCTGGCCACTGGGGTCAGGTCCAGGGGGCCACTGGGGCCAACCCCCAGCAGCCTTCCCAGCCCCTGCAGGTGCTGTGGAGTATCGCCTCACCACACAGCTAATAGTTCCATGCCATGCCCCTGTTCTGGGTGCTGCAAGCAACTGCCCAGGCTCAGCAGCACAAGAACAGCCATGCTGAGGCCTGGAGAGCCTGCGCAGGGGCTCCAACACCATCATTGCTGATGCCACAGTGGGTTACCAGCACTGACCACAACCATTGGTTGGGAAGCGCCCACAATCCATGCCCTTTATGTGGCATCTGACTGACATCCTTGCACCCCAGTACCCAGGCCACAGCCATGCTGTGTAATGCAGCACGGGTGGCCAGCCTGAGGCCCTGCTCTGGCCTGGCACTTGCAGTGTTGTGTCACCAGTGGAGGGCCCCTTGGGCTGCCAGCAGCCCATTTCACCGAGCTCTCTACCACCAGCTTCTACCAGCAGCTTGGGGAGCCCAGGCTAGCGCCTGCCCCAACAGCTCCAGGACCTCAGCCCCAGCCATAAGGTACAGCCGGTCATGTCACCACCAGGGTCCAGCAGTACCATCTCCTCCCTGGTGGGGGGGCACCCATTTGCTGCACCCCTCCAACTGACAAGTCCACCAGAAGCCTCACACCATTGCTGCCAGCAGGGACTGACTGGAGCCACTGGGCATGCCAGCCCCACCCACATGGTAAGCTCTGAACTGGGGGGAGGGCCTGCCCGGCTGACTTACCATGGTCCCTGGGTACCTGTGCATACACGACCCCTGATCTGAGGTTGGGCAGTGCACAGACTCAAAGTACAGAGTATCTTATCTCAGAAATGTTGCAAACTCTCACAAATAGTTTCTTTCTCTTGGCTCTGCAGGCCCTGCAGCTGCATGCAGGGGAGAAACTGCAGCTGGCAGTGTATGGCCTCAGGGCTGCTGCTGCCATCCATGGCTGGGACCCTATGAATGCACCAGCTCCACAGGAAGAGGACCCAGGATTGGATCCTTCTTCTGGACTGGCTGATGACAGCCGTGGAGGACTGGCTTGCAGATGTGCAGGCACAGCAGGTAGAGGACACTGCCCATGAGGACGCACAGGACCAGGTGGACTGGGAATTCAGTGCATAGTGCCTGGCCCTGGAGCAGGAGCATGTGGAGGCCCTGTGGTAGCAGGCTGCACTTATGGGCAGGGCATTGTAGGATGCTGGGTGCTAGACACCATCCTGGCCCTGGCAGTTGCCTTGCTGTTGCCCACTGCACTGTCCTTAACCGTAGCCCCATCTGGCCCCTTGCAGCTGGCTGTCACCCAGCAGCAGGCCCTCTCATGGGCCTGGACAGAGGTCCAGTGCCACCTCCACCAGCCAGAAGCCCCTACCTCAACCCCCATCCTGGGTCCCCCACCACCCAGCCCCCGCACCTGGACCCAGCACCGCCGCTTGCCCTTGCCCTGGAGCTGCCAGCAACAGGGCCAGGACCACACACCAGCCCTGCTGGCCCTGGCTACTGGCTGCAAGAGGGGGAGCCACCTGTGCTGGGGGACTAGTAGCCACCATTGCCCCTGGGTGAGCCCCCACCTGCCAGGCTCGCTGTAGTGTGCACACCCATGGGAGCATAGCAAGAGGCCAGGGTGCTGGCCACCTGTCCCTCAGCTCCACTCCCTAGATTTCCTTACCCCATGCCCCCCCCCCCAAATGAGGGCACACACAAACTACACTGCAAATAGTTTGCATGGAAAAGAGGGTGTTTTATTGTTGGTAAGTGGGGTGGAGGGTGAAGGGGCTCTGTTGCTGGGGATGGAATGGGGAGTGGGGCTCTGTTGGGGAGGGAGAGGGGAAGGGTGTGAGTGTTGTGAGGGCCATCAAGTGTTTTCCTGAGAACTGTCTGCAGGGAGTGTGGTGCTGGGGATGGACAATGGGGCAGGGGGGTCTGTGAGCAGCTATCTAGGTGGGCTTAAGTGGGGAGTGCAGGGGGAGATGGTCAGTCAGCATGTCTTGCACCCAGTGGCCTGGTCCCCACTAGCAGGTGTGCGGATCATTCAGGGCCTTGTTTGGGGGCAGGGACTGCCGCTGTTGTTGGCACCATAGCTAGTGCTCCCACTGTCAGGCATCCTCTGCCTGCTGTGCCTCCCCCACCACCCAGGCGTCATGAAACAGCTCCTCCAAGGCCTCGCAGATATTATGCAGCACATATGTTGGCCTTGGCAAACTTGAGATGGGCAGTGAGGGTGCACTAGCATCCCTTGAGGTGGCTGAAGTCAAACTCCACCAGGCACCTGTTGAAGTGGGCCTGGCAGGGGTCCAGCTGGCTGGTGTGGGGCTGCATGAGCCAGGAGAGGAGCAAGTAGATGGGTCCCTGATGAGGAGGGGCAGGACCACCATAGTGCCCAGCTGGAGGTCTGGCACCTCTGCTACAAAGCTTATTCTCTGCACCAGGGCTGGCAGGGTGGAGTTCCTGAAGACGTGGGCATCAAGGGCACTTCCCACTCAGTCAATGCTTATATTAGTGAAGGCACTGCGATGGTCGATGACAGCCTCGAGCACAATGATGTGGAAGCCCCACTGGCTGTAGTAGGGGCAGTCACTGTGGGGCAGGTAGGTGATGGGGTTGTATATCCTGTCCAGGGCCCAATGTACTGGGGGATTTCCAGGTCATGGAGCCCTGCCACCACTGCTAGGGAGTCATGCACGTGGAGCATGGTGTGCCTCAGCATGTCCGGAGGGCACTGCACACTTCCAGGACAGCCTCTCCAGTGGTGGCCTTGCCCACACCATAGAGGTGGCCCACCTAACAGAGGCTGCCGGGGGTGGCCAGCTTCATCAGGGCCATGGGCAGCTGATTGTCTGTGGGAAGGGGCTGCCACATGGTGGTGTCCTGCCACTCCAGGTTTGGGCAGAGATACTCCAGGAGGTCTAGGAAGGTGGCTCATGTCATGTGGAACACCTCCAGCCACTGCTCATTGTCCCAGGTGGCCTGGATGATGTGCAGCCACAAGTCCTTGTTGGCACAGTGTACCCAGAGGTGGCAGGGCTGGAGGGCCAGGAGGACATGGATGGCCCAAATGGTGGCAACCAGGAACACATCGGCAGCATCCCTGCTGGGGTTTAGCCAGCAGGACAAGGTCCAGCAGTGGCCCTGGATTGGTGTGGTGTGGCCAGGAAGGTGGTTGCTGCATATGAAGGAGTCAGCAGGACCCAAGCAGCCATGAGCCGGCCAGCAGTCGTCGCGGTGGTCCAGCAGGGCCAGCATGGTGGCCAGCTCGAGCCCAAGGTGCTGGGCATTGCTGCCAGGGGCAGGGACAGGAGCTGGAGCAACCATACTGTGGGGAGGCAGAGGCTGTGGCTAAACACCAGTCGCATTCTGCCCCTGTGCTCTGCACACTACTCCTGGCCTGGGAGCAGGGAGTAGGACTGCCTTTTTAAGATGGGCTGTGGCTGCAAACAGCTGTGGCCAGCACCTCTAGCTTTCCCTGGTGGCCAGTAGAGGCCCATTGCAGGGCCTCAGGAAGCAGGAGCA